CAAATTTGCTGAGCGTTAACGTCTTTTTTAACCAGTCGGTGTGAAGAGATTTCATTTTGTAAAGAAAATTTATTGATAGTACATTTCTTTTTAAAAAATTTTGACAGTCTTGCGCACTAACAAATGAACTGCGAAAGAAGTCACAACGCAAGTTTCAAGCAAAAAAAAAAAAAATCTGAAATAGCTCAATTTGGGAGAGCTCATGTATGCCTGGTGCTTTCGAGCTTTCGAAGTAACAATGAAAAAAAAATCTGCAACAGAAGCCAAAAGCGAATAGCGTGTTTTATAGACGGTTTCAAGGTCACAAGCGTTGTACCCTCCCCCCCCCCCACAAGAAAAAAAAAAACTTCCAGTCACCTCAATTACCAGCCCCTAACGTTGGAACTGAAAGCATGTTTTCAATTCTCTTTTCAAGCGTAACGAAAGTCTTTCGTTTTTCACATAAAAGAAACGTGCGTGATGTACAAGGGAATGTTTTATAATTTTTATGTAGCTCAAAAGAAAATTTATATGAATATATATTTCTATACAAGGGAAAAGAACTGCAGATTATCAGTGGCCTATTTTCTAAAGCGCTTGTGGTCCTCCAAAGCTATTGAAGCACATCGGTGGACAGAACTGGAAGTCATCAAGGGTCTGTGTTCGTGGACAGTGAAAGGGTCTATAGTCGGGACAACTTTTTGCGGCAGTGAACAAAAAGCTACGGGGGTGGAGCTACATGCAGCACATGTGCTCTTCCGCCAAGTAGTCCAGCTTGAGTCACTTTTAGAATGCTGGCCATGTTCGAATAATACAACTGCATAGAACTGGCTACGTCTGTTTACACAGCCATTCGTAAGTGAAATTAAAACAAGCGCCTTAGGCGAGTCGTCGGAATAACTGGAGGGCGACGAGCACTCATCTAAAGACGGAGACGCCATTTTGAATGTAAGGGGCACCTAAAATGTGCGATGTTTTCAGACGCGCAAGAACGTGAAATGACACTGCATGAAGTGAAACAAATATCAATATCTCCTTGGTTTGTTCAGTGTCTCTTTATGAACAGCATCCCGTAGGGAATAAAATAATGTTGTTTTTTAATATCTTCACACGAAAAATACAAACGCATTTGTGGGACTATATTCTTCAGCGGAGGCACACGCGCACTTTGGTTCCGTAGCCTTCCTTTCATTGCCACAGAAGGTTGTCCTCGACTATAGCCCCATACAGTATGTCTATTATTGTCGTTTTTTTATATATTTCTCGCGGAGCTTTTCTTAGTCGCACGATGTCACGCTTCGGCATCGGCAGTGGCTCCGTTCACATCCCCACTGCGCATACTCACGTCTAGCTTCTCGTAACTAGAAGGGCATGCTCGCGTCTCGTGCCGGCCCAGGAAGACACTCGCAAAACTGTCGCTTCCCTGCCCCTTTCTCACCTCGCAAGGCCGACGCTTGCGAGGTGGGAGAGGCACTAGATCACGCTATCGTAATTCAGTCAAGGGCGTCTTTCTTTGGCTTTCACTTGACGTCGAAGGCAACACTTCTACTACATTCAATAACTAGGAATAATAGAGACGGAATACCCATTGAGCATTTTCAAGCCATACCCAAGTACGTAACATTCACGCGAGATTACCCCCCACTGCTCTGCGACGCGTTCACCCTGTGGGAAGATGCGTACTTCATTTTATTCGAAAGCCCTTGGAAGTGGGCGCCGGTACAACATAAAAGGTCAACGTGACGTCAATGCGATGGTTCACGCTTGCATTAAACTGGCTTTTTTTTTCTTTTGGGGGCCTTTGTTTTTCAAGATCGTGAATGAATGGAATAGAACAATGAACCGAACAAGCCAACTTGTTCTATTCAGCCTACTTCACTCAATATTCAGCATCTGCTTCGTGGATAAACGTAGCTTTCTTCAAATAACCTTCTAACTTGATAAGGACAGTTATCCGGCCACACAGCTACGCCGTAGTAAGAGTCTACATGGTATTTTAAATTGGCCTCCCGTTTGCTTCTAAATGCAATAGGGGGGGGGGGTAACGTAAGCAAAGCGTGCAATGTAGATATTTTTATAATCATAATAATGATACGGCAACGTTTACCGCTCGAACTTTATCTAGTGAGGCAAGTCTAGCTGTACTATTCGAGGAGCTAGTAGGTGTTAAATGGGGTATAAAAGGCCTCAGTGAGGTTAAGAGGACAGATGAGGCTTATACGGTGCTACAGAATGAGCACGTTCTTTGCTATAGGGGCTTGGTTGACAGAAAAGAACTGGGAGTGAGGTTGCTAATTCACAGAAACATGGCTGGCAACATAGAGGAATACTACAGCATTAATGAAGGGGTGGTAGGTATTGTAATTAAACTGAATAAATGATATAAGATGAAGGTGGTACAGGCTTATGCACCTACATCCAGCCATGATGACGCTTCAGTTGAAAGCTTCTATGAAGACGTGGAATCGGCAATGAGTAAGGTAAAAACACAGTATACTATACTGATGGGAGACTTTAATGCAAAGGTAGGGAAGAAGCAGGCTGGAGACCAGGCAGTAGGAGATTATGGCATCGGTACTAGAAACGCCAGATGAGAGCCACAACTAGAATTCGCAGAACGCAATAACTTACGAATTTTGAATACCTTCTACCGAAAATGAGGAAACCGCAAGTGGACATGGAGAAGCCCTAGTGGCGAAACTAAGAACGAAATGGAGTTTACATTCAGTGTACACCCAGGCATCGTGCAGGATGTGGAAGTGGTTGGCAAGGTACGATGCAGTGACCATAGAATGGTACGGTTTCGAATTCGCCTAGACTTGAAAAAGGAACGACCCGAACTGATACGCAAGAAGCCAATCAATGAGCTGGCACTGAGAGGGAATGTACAGGAATTCAGAATCTCGCATCAACACAGGTACACGGCTCTTATTGAGGAAACGAACCTTAGCGTAGATACAATGAATGATCATCTGACCGGCATCATTAAGGATGGTGCAGTGGAAGTTAGAGGCACGGTATAGTCAGGCAGGACACTGGCAAGCTTTCCCAGGAAACGAAAAATCTCATTAAAAAGCGTCAAAGCATGAAAGTCTCAAGTACAACAGACAAAATAGAACTGGCAGAGCTTTCGAAGTTGATTAGTAAGCGTGAGGTATCTGATGTAAGAAGGTATAACATGGAGGGAATCGAACACGCTCTGAAAAACGGAGGAAGCGTCAAAGCAATGAAGAAGAAACTCGGGATAGGCGAAAATCGGATGTATATACTAAGAGGCAAAGAAGGCGAAATAACTACCAATATGAATAGGATAGTTAAAATAGCGGAGGAGTTTTACGAAGATCTGTACAGCATAGCCGGCACAACCACGACCTTAATACTATAAGAACTAGCAGTAACCCAGATGACACCTCACCAATAATGATAGAATAAGTCAAAAAGCCGTGGAGAGCATCCGAAGAGGCTAAGCTGGAGGTGGGGATCAGGTAACATCAGATCTGCTGATAGATGGAGGACAGATTGTGTTATAAAAACTAGCTAACCTGTTTACGAGGTGTTTCCTGACGGGAAGAGTACCAGAGTCTTGGAAGAATGCCAACATCATCTTAATACATAATAAAGGAGATGACAAGGACTTGAAGAATTACAGGCTGATCAACTTGCTCTGCCATATCTATGCAAGCTATTTTTACAAAGGTAATTGCTAACAGAGTTAAGGAAACATTATGATTAATCAACCAAAGGAACAAGCAGGATTTCGAGCAGGCTACTCAACAATCGACCACATTCATACCATCAATCAGATAATAGACAAATGCTCAGAATGCAGCCAACCACTATACATAGCCTTCATTCAGTTACGAGAAGGCGTTTGATTCAGTAGAAATATCAGCAGTCATGCAAACACTGAGGAATCAGGGCGTCGATTAAACATATTTAAACATCCTGGAAGAAATCTTACAAGGTATCAACTGCTACCATAGTGCTTCATAAATAAAGCAACAGAATACCAATCAAGATGGGCGGGATCAACTGCTACCATAGTGCTCCATAAAGAAAGCAACAGAATAGCAATCAAGAAGGGCGCAATGCAGGGGATACAATCTCTCCAATACTATTTACCGTATGCTTACAGGACGTTTCCAGTGGCCTAGAATGGGAAGAGATATAGATAAGAGTTAATGGAGAGTACCTTAGTATTCCTGAGCATCGCCGATGACATTGCATTGCTGAGTAACTCAGGTGACGAATTGCAACTCATAATTGCGGAGTTAGACAAGGAGAGTAGAAAGGTGGGTCTTAAAATTAATACGCAGAAAACGAAAGTAATCTACAACAACCTCGGAAGAGAGCAGAGCTTCGAGATAGGTAATAGTGCACTTCAAGTTGTAAAAGACTATGTCTACTTAGGGCAGGTAATAACCGCGGAGCCGAACCTCGATATTGAAGTAACTAGAAGATTAAGAATGAGGTGGAGCACATTTGGCAAGCCCTCTCAAATCATGACAGGTAGATTGCCACTATCCCTCAAGAGGAAGGTATATAACAGCTGCATCTTGCCGATACTTATTTATGGAGCAGAAACCTGGAGACTTACAAAGAAGGTTCAGCTTATTTGAGAACGACGCTGCGAGAAATGAAAAGAGAACTGGTAGGTGTGACCTTAAAAGACAAGAAGAGGGCAGAGTGGAATAGGGAACAAACAGGGGTTAAGGATATCATAGTTGAAATCAAGAAGAGGAAATGGACATGGGCCAGGCATGTAGCGCGTAGACAGGATAACCACTGGTCATTAAGGGTAACTAACTGGATTCCCAGAGAATGCAAGTGGGTTATGGGGAGACAGAAGGTTAGGTGGGCAGATGAGTATAAGAAGTTTGCGGGTATAAATTGGCAGCAGCTAGCGCAGGACCGAGTTAACTGGCGGAACATGGGAGAGGCCTTTGACCTGCAGTGAAAGTAGTCGGGCTGGTGGTGATGATGAATAATGATAAGAACCTCGTGTAAATTTTCATACGCACCTTCATTCTCGCTTCCTTCTTCGTACCCTCATCCATCCATGGCACACGTTTAAGCTGACGGTCGAACGCTTCGCCAATATAGCTGAGGAGATACCGAGCCTTTGAAAAAAAAAATCGCATTGTTACTCATACATCACTGTCGCTGTCAATTAAAAAGCGTATTGTTTTTCTCATACTAAATGAAAATCGCTGGGAACAAGGAATAAATATGCATAATAATATTTTTAAACTATACGAAACAGCATTTTTCGGAGCTCTCGCAACGTCTTCAAACTGGGCAAAATACATTACAAATAAAAAGGAACGACGGGTGCTCGAGCACGAACTCTTACGCAGTCATTACTCAAGTTTCAAGTGATGCAGCTCCCATTAGTGCTTACATTTAATTACAACAAACATTCCAACATTACTTTGTTTTGTCTGGAGCACGCATGGGAACGTAAGAACCGATTCCCTCGATCACACGGTTTTATAGCCGACCAGTAACCAGTGAGGTGATGCTACGTCTCTTGGACTGACGTCAACAGCGGAAATTTCGCTATTGGAGCGTCGCAGCCCTCCTACAAGCCAGTGAACTGGATGTCCATCTTTGGAGCAGTTCCAACGTGCCGGAACTATAGTCTAGATCACCGCAATAATTCAGCATTTTCATTCATTACTCCTTTCTTTTCCCATGTCCACTCTGCAGAGTTAAGTAGCCGTTCAGAGCAAACTACCACTCAGGCAGACCTCTTGCCTATCTGTAAATAAATTTTCCCTCTCGGCATCTCTCTCTCCAAGGGAGCCTTGATGCAACAGATTGTAAACAATGCTCCCGTTGGAGAACCTATACGTTAATACTTTTCATTTTTTTGTCATCTCAATCAGTGTCCCGATCCACTACATTTAGTTTGCATCCTCCAACGCATGCATACGGGTTTCCGTACGCATCGACGTTAACACGAGTGATGCGGAAAAATTGTCCTCTCTTAATAACGTCACCGTATGACTTCATGGGTCATGACGATAGTTATAGCGCGAGAACAGAACGACGACACAGAGACAAGAAGGACACGAAGGACGTCGTTGTTCTGTTCTCGCGCTATAGCTATCGTCATGTCATGCCAACTAGCCCAAGCTGTCACACTTTTAATTCATGGGTCACTCGTCTTTGTGACGTCGCTATGGCGTTCCATTACGTAACGTCAGAAAATGACGTAATCACATGAGATTATCGCTTGGTCAAGGGGGGTTTCATCACGAATCCTGTGCAAAAAAAAAACGCAGAAAGCTTCCAGATGGCTGCGGGAGAGGATTAAAGCATCGACCCGGTGATAAAGAAGTTGGATTTTGCCTTTTACTTTTCCAAGGTGAACACGTAATAGACCTTGTCGGCTTCATTGTTTCTGTACAGTGTCAGGTTTTCAATACGTTGAGTTGCACTACCACACTCACCTGCATTCTCGCGTGCGTTCCCAGGTAACGTAGGCCGTACCACTTGCTCACGATGTGCCGCGCTTTCGACCTCAAGAGAGCAATGCAGAAACGCTCCCGGTCCGTCTCCACTCCGTCGCACAGTTCCACCGTGTTGTTTAGGTACTCCTTCGAGGAGTATCGCAGAAGTCTGGCGGCTTCTTTAACGCCGAAATGATTGAAAATGACGTCTCTGTAAGATAAGATTGCACACGCAATGTTCCACCACTGGTTGCAGCAGTTAGGTGTATATATAGGGTACGCACTGAGCCTCGATCCGCAAGGGGACAACACTATCGCTGCGCCATTTTGAAGTGCCGTTCGTACTCTCGGTCCTGCTATCCGTGCTTCGGGCGTGCAGAAAGTGTTCCGGAAGTCTCTAGAACATCCAGACTTCTGTACGGATCATGGACACAGCGTGTGCAGCCACTTAGAAGTGTGGCAGCTTGCGTTAGTTGGTATGGCATGGCGATAGTTATAGCGCGAGAACAAAACGACGACACAGAGACAAGTGTCTCTGTGTCGTCGGACTTCAAGGACACGTGTCTTTCGTGTCCTTCTTGTCTGTGTGTGGTCGTTTTGTTCTCGCGCTATAACTATCGTCGTGCGCAGCCAGTTTAGTTCAAGTGCGCCGAGCGCGTGGGCCACCGAAATTGCGACACCGATGCTAGCGATCCTCGTGGATGGCGTCAAGTGCATACTACCTTTCAAACAAACGGCCCTTATCTTACCATCGCATAAACAAGCCATAGCTGGATGAACATGACTGCACCCTTTCATTATGCATGGAAAACTGAAGTAAAGGAAGCCTCCTTGACACGCTGTGCTCGGAGAGCTGTTATTGAGTTATTAAGCAATCATAGAGGGTGGTGGCAAGCTTTGCGCTGAGTGGAGCCTATACGTGCCGTCACGTCGCTACAGCCGCCTTGCTATGTTTACGGCGCCTAACCATGTTTACGAGCATGAAATAGGCTTATGGGCACGACGAGTAAACAGGCCCGAGGGAAGGCAGCATCATTAGTTACCTAAATAACTAAATAATTTAGATCGTTCATAGAGTGTACTTCGTTCATAGATCGTTCATAGAACGTACAAGGGAGAGGAGACGGGGCAGAAACGCAAACAGCGTGGCACGCAGTCTTTATTGCACTCTGAACTCAGTATCTATTATTTATCAGTGTCAAGAAAAAGATGCCACCATTTCTGATGGTATCATAGATTACTCTAGTGGGATTTATTACCGTCCAGGCTACAACCGCTTGAAAGGATATGCGAAACGGCAGAGAATGTTGATGTCGCATTGTTCGCTTTTTTTTTTTCGGTCCCAACTGTACGTTATTTACTCATTGGCCTTTTGGAGAATTCACAACTTAAATTACGTACGGACACGCAAGAACATTTGTGTGTAATTTTGCAGTCAGCAATTTTCGAGGCAGATTTTGAGTAACTCTGGTAAGTAATTTATAATGCTCTAAAATATTTTATTTGTACAGTTATTTCCTCCTGTGTGTTAAGAAGGACCTACAACAAGGTGTCTATTGGCAGCTACGAGCCAGGCTGAATTGAGCACATACACACTTTATTTTATAAACCTCGTGCAGTCGTGTTGGCGCATAGATCCTTATTTAAAAACAGTTAAGAAAAAGACGGAAACTTGAATACACTAAAAAACCACGTGATAGTTTGCACTATAGTGCGAACTATTCAAAGACACAGCGAAGCTGACAGGCTCCCAGCTGGTACCGACGTTTTGAGCACGCGTTGGTGTTGTGTACATAGTTTCAAGCTAAACGTTATTTCATCTCTTTCTAACACATCTTTTTTCTCTATCCTTCCATAACCCTTTCACTCCATCGAGGCTTGCTGCTGGTGCCTACTTTTCTCCCATTTGGCTAGTATTCAGACCAGTTCGCGACAAAAATTTTCTGTTGGTGCCTTCGCTATCTTCTAGGTAGTTTTAAGCTTTCGGTTTACTTATTGAAAATGATTTTATTTAATAATAAACAGTAAATTATCTGCTAAATAAACCACTCATGTTGTGATAGGCTAACGATTCGGCTATATTATCGATTACATGGCTTCTTTGGCTACTTTTGGCTTGAGTTCTGGCACCTTTTCGAGTCCATTCAACGGCCACCCTGCGGGTCCCACCTTAATTGTAAAGTAGCAAACCGAGCCAAAACTTGGTTAACCTCCCTGATTTTCTTTTGGTTTCTTTCTTTGTCTGTCTCTCGAAGATACGTCAAAGTTCTGAATCGTCCAGCTGCATGAGGATGTTTCACGACTCGGTAAAGCCAATCAGCGTGGCCCTGTGCACCAGTTCGTCCTGGGTTAAAGCCCATGGCATGGCACTGCAACAACCTCGAGTCAAGGAAGGCCAACGCAGACTGGGACAAGTGTCGCAGATTGGGCGAGTTGATGCATCATGAAATCGTAAGCTTAGAGCGCAGCTCTGTTTTCTCTCAAGCAGTGCTGCGTTATAACCTTACGATTTCAACGTCTATTGGTCGACCCTGTCTGAAGAGGCCCGGCAAATTCAGCTATTCATCCCGTCATGACTGGCGGAGCAGAGTGTTCCCACGCACTGTCGAGGTGGATTTGCGAATCTAACCTCCGTAATCACAAACGCTCCTCCACTCAACTTTCACCCTTCACTTGACAGAGTCGAGCACTGCGTCATCACTCGGCCGAAGGTGACGCTGCACTACTCAAGAACTGCAGCAGACTATTCCTGATATTCAGTGACTTGCCGTGCCTAGAGATGGCGTTCCCATCGGATTTTTCAAGTGAAGGCAAAATCTTGAGTGAAGGGAAGTTCTAGAATACGGGGGTAAGCGCAGCTCCACCGCGCTGACGTCACGGCGCATGCGCAGTCTCACGCAGCTAGCAGAAGTTTCGTGGAACATCGTCTGTTCTCGCGAAGCTATGCCACCTGTTGCTAGGCTACGCGCACTGACGTCCTCACTGCGCGTAATTTTTGTTCGTGACGGATGAACAAACGCTGGTCTTAAACAGTTCCTCTGTTTAGAATTGAAGACGCGACAGAAGACTACGTCTTCTTTAAAGTTCTTACGGCCTCGAAGAAGAGAAGTCCACTTGCCGAAACGTCAGCTCTATAGCGACAACCTGTGTATATGAATTTTCAGACGGTATCTAAACATCATCTCACAAACAGATACTCACGGATCATTGTCTGTATAAAACTTCAGCACTTCTTTCACCATTCCAATTTTCTTGATGATTATTTCTTCGGTCCCATTGAAGGTTATGTTCCAGCGACGAAACTGGCTGTTCAAAACACTTAGTAGAGGGAACTGTGTGTCAGAAAAAAAATACCAATAAAAAACACATTTATATTGCTGTGTCCATTTCTGCTTCTCCGAGTAAGTCGGAATGTTCGAGAAAAGAGTAACGTGTAGACACTTGACCGAAACCAGCCCCTGCTAAAGTGTGCTTCTTTCATAACTGACTCCTAAAGGCACGTTTACACTAGAGAGACACGACACCAATATCGGTCTGCTGGCTGTGTTTAGGAGTGTCTTTTCTTTTGTCGTCGGCCTATGTACACTGCAAAGACACAAACAGTCCTCGGGTGATCTTTAAAGGAACCCACTCGCGCCTTCTCATGCTCACAGTATTTCGTTGGACAATTCTGTAGTCACGACAGCGACTAAACTTGCACACCTGTACCTCAATTTCAGCCATGCTCCCCGTTTTGCCATTGTCTCTCTCCGGCTAAGCTGCGAAGCCCCCTCCATAATCCATGGTAAGGAGGGACGGGGCTGGGGATACACAATAGGGTAGCGAAGAAAAGACTTCCGTTGGGTGCTCGAGCTGCCTATACAGACGCCACGGAATCCCCGGTGGGGGCATTGTTAACTCCCCCAAGATTACCCGCTGCGTGGTTGTTGGAAGCAATGACATAGGCCAAATTTTCGCTCAGCTGCCGATCTCCTAAAGGCACGCTGACGACAGATCTGTCGGTTGTCGGCTGCGGTTGTCGAATCACGTTACACTACGATGAAATGTTGTCTTTTGAGGCGTCATCGGAGTCGTCTGCCTAGTGTGACCATGGGATCTGGCGACTTCGTCGGCGGGCGACTCGTTGACCAATGGTTTGCGTCTGCCTCGTGTTTTTGTCGGGGTCATGTCAGCGTCGTGTCGCTCTAGTGTAAACGCTCCTTAAGATTACAGCCAACCAACAGCGCTAGACTGCGACAAGCAAACTTTTCAATAATCTTCGCTCTCTCGATCACTGTATCGCAAATATTTTATCAGGCATGCTCGACGTTTTCACTGCAAAGATGTATTTTTATGGTCACGCCTCTCCGATCCTGTGCCTGACCTTTGAAGCCTGTCGCATTGTGGTGAATGCAGCAACTAGTGGACTTAAAAATGTATACGAACATCATATTACTATCCTTCATCCAAGAGTACTCATTTTCTTAGCTAACACAAGAAACATTTGAACCAGGCGACATTTTTTGAGTTGCAATAAATGGTCACTATTAGTGTAAGAAACCAGATTTTGCATTCTTTAAAAGTAAGATTTATCTGCACAGCTTTGGGAACAACGTATTTCCTTTCTAAGCATGATGTCGTGGATTCGACTACCGCAAAATACAACACATTTCAGTAAAGTCATGAGCAAAATGCAGAAACCCTCGTGCTCCTAACTTAGAAGACGTAAATGAAGCGCTGGTGGCCAACATTATTCAGTGGCATGCCCTAACTTAATCACGGTTTTCAGCCCCGAGAACACCAAAATTACATTTCACTGCTTAGCAGTGTTCTTTGTATATCGCCTGTTTCAATCTTTTTTTTATGAATTGCTACATTGCTTTCCATCTTGTCCTTGGCTTTTTTGCTTGTTATCTCATTAGAAGTTTGGTTTATCACAGTTTATTCGCGCATACGAGTATGTGCCTCTCGCACGTGCTAGCACATCTGCATCTGCTTGCTTCAACGAATATTCAACGTAATAAAGAAATGGTCCCGATGAGCTCATTTCACAGACATTTTGGTGTCGGCATCGGGGTTGGCATTGTAGTCGTTTCATTTGAGCGAAAGTTCATAATCTTGTATGTGACCGAAAGATCGAGCAAGATGCAAAGAAAAAACTTTGACCTCGAAGTTTTTCATTTGCATCTTTCTCAATTTTTTCGCGTCAAAAGTAATACGTGATAGTGCTATGGAACCCCGCGCACATCGCCTTTTCAACTACTAGCATAGCTTTGATTTCCGGTGCGTGGCTCAGCTGTGCCGGAGAAAAGGAATGATTTTGCGTGTATGATTGTGCGTTTCAAGCTGTATCCTAGAATGCTGACTACAAGTATAGTTGTGAAATGCTCACTACGCCATAATTCTTCTTTCTGCGAATGAGAAAAAGATCAAGCATTAGCGATTGCGCTGGGTGAATGCTAACTAGCAAATGTGAACGCTAATTAGGTAATGTGAGCCTAAGTAACGTTTCTCACCTGATCTAACATGTCCTCAAACTGTCCAATAGTTGCCATTAGTGTGGTTGTATTTAGATTTTCTGTACCCTTCATCATGCTTTTGAGAAACTGCAAGAGAAAGTGCAAATTACTCGCACCCTGGTTTTGTAAATACACAAAACTATAATGACACTACACTCGGACCTCTTTTTCTCGAAAGGTCACATCTGCAACAAAAACGCTTTGTTATATCAGAAAATTTGTGAAAATCATATATTCTCAGCACTGTATCAATGACAAAGCATTTTTTACACTTCGTTGTAAGTGATAATTTGTTACATCCGGGTTCATTGAATTAAAGTTTGATTGTACCTTCATCTCCTTCACTGAGAAAACGGCCATGTCTTCAACGATTTTTGTGCGCTCTTCTTCAGGTAGGTCCGGTACCATAATCTTCGTTATCATCGTTAAGAAGGATTCCAAGTAAGCAGTTTCATTGGTTTCCAGGAATTCATGGAGCAGTGCTTTCATGCAAACATCGTAGTTTGCAGTGGTGTCCACTTCTAGCTGCAACGACAAGAACGCAAAAGAAAGACTTCCTTGCATCGAATTCGGCCTGGTTAAACACAAATACCTACATACCTGCACTTAGAGCGCCGGAGATGTTTTCCAAAAACACAGTGACAAATGTTCGTGGTGTGACTGTACTCACTGTACTACCTGTGACTGTACTTAGTGGTAGCTTTACTCACAGCTACCACTAATAGGCGTGTGGATGATGTGTGTGTGGGGGGGGGCATCCATTTCAGCCCCCCATAATCACACCAGAGCGGGACGCTAATTCTCCTCCACACATTTAGACAGACCAACCTATCCCGTCATTGTTTCAAAGTTCCCTCACGGCCCCGAGTTCCAGGACGAGAGAGTGGTCTCTTTTTCACATTTACCATTCCGACAGGTATACTATCTGCTCCACGCCCCTCATTTCTTAAGTATACTTGTACAATCGCAGCACTAAGCGTGTATAGCCTATTTTAAATGCGTGTTTTTCGGCAACACGCTATCTTTCCTTGCGCAGTTGAAAACACACAAAACGAAGTCAAATCGAGTGAATCGATCGTGCGTGCTCGTGGTAGTCACGTGAGACGAGGAAGAACGAGTGGGTGGCTTCATGGTAAAGCAGTCGAGGAGACAATTCACCACTGGTATTTACTTATTTATTCATTGAAAATACCTCGAGGACCCTGCACACATCACAGGGTTTTACATGAGGAGTCGGAGAAACAAACAATCGAGTTAGTTAATGTTTACAATGTGTGTCTTAATGGAGTTCTTGAAGTGAGCATGGCTGATGTGAAAGATGATGTCTGGGGAAAGATTGTTCTAGCCGATGGCAGTCTTGACAAAGAATGATTGCAGGTGCGTGGTAGTGCGGGCACGAGGAAGGTATACGGCATTATCAATGCTGCTGAGTTGAGAGATGCGATGAGCTGGATTGATGGGAGCACACTTACGTAGGACATGAAAAAAGACATGCAATAGTGAAAGCCTTGAGATTACGCTCCGAGTACAAAGAGTAGTTAGACCTGCCTTCTTTTTAGGTTAGTTACACTACTCTTGTAAAATTATACAGAATAAATAAATCTCACTGCTCTGATTTGTACTGATTGTATTAGATCGGTTAGAACGCGTTCAGGAAGATCCTAGACGGAACAAGCATACTGTAATTTAGGTTGGATTATTGTTTTATAAGCTAGTTTTTTCACCGAAGGAGATGCTTGTGTTATATTCCGCTTAAGATAGCCTAAAGTACGGTTAGCCGCATTAGTAATGTTGTTAATATGAGTGGGTCAAGTGAGCTCGTTATGGAGAGTAATACCCAAGTATTTAGCACTAGATTCTGAGGAGATGACCCTGCCGTTAAGAGACTATTTGAATGCCGGGAAGTCATGCCGTCTATTAAATGAAACCAAAGATGTTTTGCTAGTGTTCACCATTATTAACCACTCACTAAACTATTTATCTATTTTTAGTGCCAGGTTATCAGTGACGTCGATAATCAGGTGATAAATGACGCAGTTGTCAGTGAACAGGCGTGTGTTTGAAGAAATGTTACTGGTAAGATCCTTGATGTAATTTAGTAAAAGCAGTGGAACCAATACAGTGCCTTGTGGCACTCCGGATAAGACAGTTCATGATGAATTATTCGCTTGCACAGAATTGCTGTCGGTTAGGGAGAAACTCCTTAATCCAACGGAAAACAAGAGCATCTAAGTTAAGTCGCGAAAGTTTTGATAGCAAGCGTTTATGTGGCACCTTATCGAATGCTTTTTTCAAAGTCAATGAAAAGTGCGTCTAGGGGTATGTTCTGATTAAGGCCAACAAATTTATCGTACATATTTTGCGTGTATGAACCGATTGAAACCCATCCTAATGGCGTCGCGTGAGTCACCAAGCTTGTGTCACGGAGAGCACCAGAATGACGAGAAACATACGGCGATAATAACGCACTTTTTGTTTCTTTATTTATTTCGGATGATAATGACGGCCAACGGTCACTGATGTTGCTTTTCAACCACCGTTTGATTCTCATCTTTACTCCCGCAAAGCGAGGTACGAGGGGCAGCTCACTGCAGCAAGCGTTTTTATTACTTTAGTTTCGTTTCTTTATATATTGCGCAGTATGTTGTCTTTTGGACTCGACATAAGGCAGAGAAAGGATGCTGGGGTAAACCTTGGCTTCCCTGACGGGGAACGCGACGCATACCTATGCTAGCAGTGGACACAACATCTGGGTTAATTAGGGACAGACTTATCGTCGTGGAAAGGTGCCAGTTTCCGAACTGGGTTTTAGAAGCTTATTGAATTGCAACATCCACATGGGACACTGGACCAAAACCTCAAGCCACAGAAACCAAACCCCAATTCTCTTTATTTTCACCAACAGAGCTCACGCACGAAAAATTCAGACACAATCACACTGAACTAGCTTCCTAAACCTTCATCTTAAGAAACATTGTTCTTTCAGATGTCGTGTAAGGACCACTAGCATCTTCATTTACGTTTTTTTTATTGTTCAGCCATGAGAAAATATCTATTGAGAAAACCCACCAGGAGGTTTCTATGTCATACCGGTATCGTAAGATTAGTTTTGGTCATGATCAAACATGATCAGTCTTGAATCGCTTCATCGTGATTGGCGTCTTCACGCGAGCTACAAGAGGCAGTAAATCGTTGTTGAGAACTTTGATCACGATCTTGTTTAATAGCAATCAGCGGCGCACCATACGAAACTAAAATTATAAAACAGTCCATTTTCAATTTAGGCATAAGGGACATCACTATTACGAAACTCTGGATACAACGAAGGGTTTACAATCGATACAATCTACACCACAAGTTTCTTTTCCCTTATTCACACAGTGATTCGTTCCTGCATTGCGGCTTTGCTGCTGTTAGTAAAGCGCACAAGAACAGCAGAATTTATGACGAAAGAGAGTAACGTTGACTTATTAGGAAATTCGTGGGACGCGCGACTCTGCAAAAAGACAGTTGGCGCGTATTTTAAAAGAAACATTTCTGCATTCCACGACTTTTCTAAGGTAGTCAGTTCTGTGATGACTCTTTTCTAAGGGGAGTCCTGTGATGACATTCCACGACTATCCACAAGTGGTCGATGATTCTCCCGAAGAGAGTCGTGTGATCACTCGCTTAAACTGCGGCATTCCACGACTCGCCACAAGTCATCCTACGATGACTCTTCAAAAATGACTGAGGATCGTGCCCCTATAAAGAGGCACTATGCTAACTCATTGATACATGTTACTCACAAATGTAGCGAAGAAAAGACGAATGGCACTTTTCTTTTTTACAGTGAATCATAATGAATACAAATGTATGTGCATGAATGTAAAAAAATAAAATTATTTATTTACACTCACCATCAGGCGGCTTATGCTGGCATCATCTGGGTCCGCGTTCACAGTACATTTCAGAACATTACATATTCCTATATTAAGGAGCACGTCTGTGACGTTTCCAAAGTGTGATTCCGTGGTGTTGTCGAACATCAGAGGCCACGACTTGAAGCCTCTGATGGCAAGTCCCGCCTTCACTGCCTCTATCTCCTCCTCTTCGCTGATCTCTGCGATGTTAAAGATACACACACATAGTGCGACATTACAGTGAAATCTCGTTAACTTGGATTTCGCGGAACCGGAAAACAGGCCAAATTACCCAAATACCAAATTATCGAAACTATCTAGAAAACTATACATAAATGGACACTTTGATAGTGTACTTATACACACTGTAACTGCCTTCTTCAGAATGGTAAAGTGACCGCCCCGGAAAGGCACTGGTTCCGGGTTATATTCCAAGACCAGGACAAATTTTTCGGCAACTGACATGCTTTTCTTTCTGAGAAATGCGTCGGATTTTTTTTGAGGCTTCATGCCACAAATGGGTGGTTACCTATTGTTCTTTTCTTAACCTTCTCCCACATGGTGTCTCTGTAGAACTGAATCACATTACTTGTGTCCGTATGCTTCGAGTTGCCGATGAGTTCACCCTCGTGCTGCCAATCGCTAGTTTCCTGGGTAGCCAATTAGTTAAAACAAACACCCTGGAAAGGCGTTTGTCCTGGGTTTGATCCCCGGACCAAAACGAAATTTTTGGCAGCGAACAGACTTTTCTTTCTGAGAAATCCGTACGGATTTCGCTGTCACTTCATGCCACAAATCGGTGTTTCTCTATCCTCCCTTTCTTCTTCATATTTGTTTAATACGGAAATCTTGTGCTTACTTTGCATAAGAAGAGTGTAAGAGCCACAATTTTCACCCCTCACGACATTGTTCGATCAAAGCACAATGCGTGCTTTGAGTAACCCAAAACGTTCTAACCCGAACTTAACCGCAAACGTTCATTTTGTCGTTGCAGCGTAGTTCTCGTGTGTGATAACAATGACAATGCATACTTCGACGTCTTCCTTTCGTCGTGCGCAAACACCGTTTTCGTTCTTACACGTCACCTGCTTTTGTGCGGCTCTTCGCGCTCAGCGCTCTCCAAGAATCATCCGAATTGTGTTGCGTGCATAATGATTTGTGTCCGATTATGTACGAATTATTTATAGTTTTGTATCATTCAAATATGCGTATGCTGGCTGCGGAACCGGGGGATGCGTCTGAGTTATCTGATTTCCCGAATAAATGGGCGCAAAAATTAACGGGCATTAATTACTGAACTCCGTCGGCCGTGGTGTAACGGTTACGGTACTCGGCTGCCGACCCGAAGGTCATGGGTTCGATTCCAGCCACGAAGATTGCATCTCAATGGGGTTAGAATGCCGAAGTCCTCGTACTGCGTAATGTCAGGGCATGCTAAAAAACACCGGTTGGTCACAATTTCCGGAGCATTCCACTGCGGAGTCTTTTATAATCATTTTTTTTGGACGTCACCCCTTTATATTATGTTACACCACAACCACCACAAACGAACAAACTCACATTGCACTTTGACCACTGACAACATGAATTCGAGTATTTCTACAAGAAAAAAGCACAAGGTCACACCAAAAGGAGCCTACAAAATAAGCAGTCTTAAGGTAATCCAGGCTGCCTTTTTCGCTTCCGTTAGCATACATTTTTTTATAACTTCTACGGTAATATCCTGTTGTGATGTGCGTTTTTGTTAAATGTGGATTTGTGTCGTCATTGCTCCTTTTTTTACATAATGCTTGCCCCGATGCCCATTATTATATGCTACAACGTTTTGGTGGGCACAGTATTTTTGTTTAGTCACACTGTGTTCACATAGGTGGCATCTTTGTAAACCAAGCTTTCCTCAGCTTATTACTCTGGTTTTCATTTTCTAGCTTGTGAGAGGACAAAAAAGATTCATTCATTCATTTGTTTCGTCATTCATTCGTTCATTCATTTATTCATTCATTCATTCAGTCATTCATTCATTCATAATGCTTTCATCAAATTGCGTTGAGTTTCTATTTACTTAGTCGCTGTCGGTTTCATCTTTAGTACTGCATCCAACTGACCCAATTATTATGGCTTCCGTGCTGAATTCCAGATTCGTGAATCAATAAATATTCAAATGAAATAGGCTTCCCTCCCGCTACATTCTTCCCAAGAAATCAAGGTAGAGTGAATCAAGAGCGACGTACATCGTTCAGTGAAAAAAAAAATACACGTCTACACCATTCACCTCAGTTCATATTCACCGCAGTTCCTCAACCATTTGGGCAAATGGTTGCCCTAAATGTATCGTGATCGTTAGCAAGCTTTGTGGATATCAACTGTTTCCACGATTTACAAACTAGGCTGTTTATTTGTACGTACGGCTGTTGGTACAAGCGTGGTAGGCTACGGCGACCTTCTCTTCGGCACTCCGGGATTCGCTGACGTCGGGCAATTCTCGAAATAGGGCTGTATTCGAAAAGAACATAAACTGGTTACTTTCCCGGCATGTTATTCTGAAACCTTTGTCCTATAGTAGAACTGTTTCGGAACGTGACCGGCTGATCAAAACGACCTTAGCAACTTCCTCAGTCAATGTATATACACATGGTCATCAATTTATTGGGCAATGTACGATACAATAATTTATCGTGACTCGAAGGCGAAAGCCGTATTTTCAAATCAGCAGACTGTTTTTACTCCCCCCCCCCTCCCTCCGAAAGCTTCCCATACCCTAGTGACTTGGCCAGCAGGTGGTACGTTGAGCCCGTGCCACCCGCCCCTCTAAAAATTCTTTTCGTTTTGTTTTGTATTTGCCAAGGTAAACCAAGAACAAATTGACACTCGACCACGTCTGCCTGACCGACAACTCTCAGTGCTTCTCTGAATGATTGTTTTTCCATCACCACTGCCACATCAGATCAAGGTACGCTCTTAATCAGGTCCTGGTTGAATGCTGGTTGTATTCGTGAAACGAGACAAAAAAGGTCTGGTTTCCTGGTTATATCTAAATTGATAGATATAGCCATCTGATTGGGTAATTGAGCGGGACTTGATTATGAGTGTATAGTGCCCTTCACCCCCCGTCCCGAAAAACTGCCTACGCCCCAGTTACAACCAGCATGGTTTTTCACTGCTGCCCGAATCGACTCCCTTTTCACCGAATGATGACGACGCCATCAGCGACGCCACGTTAAATTATTTCACAGTGACGTCGTGATCAATAATATAACACAGCAACACATATGTGAAGTCATGAAGACGCAAATACACGATCAAGATTTTTGCTTCACTCGTTCTGAGGAGGAATGGAGCCACGGGTACACGTACCAAAATCTTGGTCTTTTGAAGCATTAGGTCAGCTAACGGAAAATTAGAGATACTCCTAAATTAACGATTTACCATTGACATTTTCTTGAATTTTTGCCGACATTCTTGGTAAAGGATACAGAGAAGGATCGTTCTTGTTGGGCGAATTGTATAGACCTCCGCAGGCGAAGGAATAGAAATCATCGCATGGATTGACGCTGAAGTCAATGGATCGAACCATCGCAGCACCTGCAGGAATACAGAGAATGAAAATGGGCCAAGGCAAGTACTAAAGTGGCAGCAAGATATATTAGAATTGATTTAATAAAAAAATCTTTCTTGGCTAAATCAGGCTATTTCGTTTTGAAGAATGTAACAATACGCACTATCCTTCGATTCAATGTCTTGAATGGAAGTTAACGTGTTGCATGATGAGGTGTGGGGCACTGTACAGAATAACCACGCATTGCCCCCCCCCCCTCTCAATCAAGAGGCTGTTGCATGGTGATGTATTTAGCTAAACCATGTTCAGATTACCTGCGCAACGTATGAATACTTGGTAAGGATTATAAGCGTAAACGCAAGCAATTCTCTGAGCTTGTTCACACATTGGTCTATTTATCGGGAAGTGTGCAACGTAAGGGACGCAAATGTTGTCGGGCTCGCGACTTTAGAGAGCAGACCCGACGTGCGTTATTAGAAGCGCTTATCGCGGCTCCCCTTTAGATCAACCAGCCCCGCCCGCGACCAAGTACGAGAGTCATGCTTGTCTAGGATTATATTGAGGACGCAGCGCACATACAGAGTAGTAATTGCAGCGTTGTAAAAAAACGTACCATACTTAGAAGATCAATGTGAACATAGGTGTTCTTTACCTACGCCAACGGTTCATACAGCTTTGGCGCGATACGGCTCTTCTAGATGCGAATGCTATGTGAACGTGGCTTAACGCCCGAATTTAACCACCGGCGACTCATAATGATAATTTGAGTAATGATTTCCCTGCTTCTAGGTCACCGTTGGAATACACCAGCAATGAGCCATTCGCAGTTAATCAAGTGGGAAATTAGAAGCAGTTTAAGTAGGCATGACCCAGCGCTGAGTTGCTCATTACTTTGAAGTTATGTTATTGAGCAGGAGATCGGAGGTTCGACTACCGACCACGACTTGCGTATTTCGATGAAGGCAGCTTGTAAAGACGTTGATAACGTAAATATAAGCGCTCGTAAAAAACTAAAGTAGTAAAAAATGATCCATCTTGCTGTGAAGCAGGTGTGTCGGCGGTTTCAGATTTAAAGTTGAATGCAACGGGCAATTGTGCTACATTTGTAATACGGGCAACTCTTTTTTTTTAATTTACCGTGGTGTATCTAATATACATACCTCTTGAGTGACATTCTTCGGACTTGCACATTTGTTTGCCCGCGATTTCTGCAAAACAAACCGCACAAACAAAACAGCCATGACAATGCAAAAAAAAAAAAACAAGGAGTAAACCAAGCAGAAAGTCACTGCGACGGTTCAGTAATATTAAACTACAGCATTATCTCCGAACACATAGGCAATACGAACGGCAAGCACATGGTGTCATTAAATGTAGCTGTGCCGTGTTGAACAACTTGAGTACAGCGCTGTTACAGCGGGTCCCGGGCTATGGATGACATTTACCGATAACACATTATACGAGATAGAATACGTTTAAGCATGCCTGATTACGAACGATGCCTGATCCCACAGGGGCCGTCTGAAACTACGTGTCATCAGTATGTACATTGCCTGTGGAGCACCGAGTGATCCGCTCCAGATTTCTAGGCAGGTGTGTTGAGCCCTATACATTTCTAATGAGCACTGAGACTCATTTCTATATGTAGATGAAAAGACTCAAACACGTAGCCCATGCCCGCATTCACTTTACTGTCTTCCCATATATTTTTATATAGTTTTGCATTACTTTATAACAGAGTTTTTGTGACGTTGCTAAATTGGACTAGCATCATTTGCCGACCTATTGCGATTAGTGACGTTTTGTTCGGGCAGGCTACGGAGACGTCACAGGCCTCAAGCAGTGAGGCAGCCGGTGGGTGGCACACAAAGGCCATCCCTCCCCCCCCCCTGCTCTACCCGGAAAAAAATTTTTCCCATGACATATAATCCACGAAAAATGACCGCTTCGAGGAGGTGCCCGCCCCCCGCCCCGCTTTTTTTTTATGAAGCGCACATCATGCTGTGGAACAAAATGTCCAGGTTTAAGTCATTCTGCCTATTATTGTTCGTATGCTATTCGAATCCTCTGAGGTCAAATATCCTTCGGAAATGACCGATATATGAGATTTGAGGATGGCCTAGCCTCTACCAAATGTTTTTTTTCAATTGACCCCCCCCCCCCCTCCCCTGTCCAACTCCGACCTTCTTTGCTGTCCTGGCGCTTGCAGGACTGTATTTACTGACTGCGGTGGGCTCGCAGAGCTGAGTTTCAGATCCCCAGCACGTGCTCGAAACATTTGTTTTATGCTGGATAAGCGCACTAGGACTCACTGAAGCCTAAATAGCAACTCCCTGGGGTATCAGTTCTGTTTCTGCGGAAAATGGCTGCTGTGCAATAAAGTTATGTCCCACATTCTATTCGTTTCGCAAAATGTTTAAAGAGTACCTAATCACAAAACGTGTTTTCTAAACTCTGCCGTCGTGCCTTACTCCTAATTTTAGTATTTCTTTTACTCACTATACCACTTGCTGTTGCACAGAACTTTTCTTGCCTTGTTATTATAAAATTTTAACCATTCTTTGTTTAATTCGTACAAAGTGTTTTTCACTGCTTGCTGCATTGTTATCGCAATTTACTTATTCTCTAACGGAAGTCCCCCCGACAGTTTTCTAACTTCGGGACTTCCTCTGTACTGTAGAATTTTATTCATGTAATGTATGCATTCCTGAAATAAAGTTTGATTGATTTGATTTGATTTGATTGCAGGAACTCACTAGCTCGATTCTTTGCCAAGGAGGCTGCGTATCACCTGATTTCATAGAACGCTTGTACCCTTGTCTCAAATTTTCTATTTGTTTTACCGCAAATTCTGGGAGCTGCTGCTCCCTTCTTGCGAGAATGGATGAAGAAGCCTCTCAGGATTTTCGAGGTGGACAACCGCTACGTCTGGCAGCGGCTAGGAAACGTGGGACCACCTCAAGTGGCACAACAGACAGCGAGGCAACGGAGCTCTATTCCGACGGTTTCGAGTCATCGGATGACGACTACACAGTCGTCATGAGCCGCAATGCAAAAAGAAGACTGCTACGAACATCGTCGACGACGAGTATATCCACCGTGCAGGCTACCGCGCAGCGTTGGCCACACACTATACTCTTCATGGCAGTGGACAATTCAGCCAACCTACGGCGGCTTAACAGGCAAGTCCTCTCTGCATACCTCGAAGGACTCGCTCCAAATGAAAAAAAGACGTCAGGATCAACTCACGGAAGAATATTCTGGCAGTTTATGTTCTACATCGTAGTGCGCTGCAAAGTCTGCAGAACATCTCGGAAATCGACAGAGTGACAGTTAAATCAGTGATCCCCACTGACTGTAAGGGCAGTGTTGGCGTCATTTATGACGTCGACATTTCCATTCCCACTGACGATTTCCCAATCTTGATAAAGCCAACTACAGACGACATCCTCATCAAGCACATCACAAGGCTTGGTCAGTCACGATGCCTGAAGATTGTTTTTGAGGGAGACAGTCTTCCCCCACACGTCAAAGTTGGCCACGTTCGCCATCAGGTCCGTCCATACATACCGAAGCCCCTACAATGCTTCAAATGCTTCAAGATGGGACATGTCAAAGGAGTATGTACCAGCAATGTCGTGTGCCCGCGGTGTGCTGAACCTCATTCAGAAGACACCTGCCACGCAACTGCGTTCAAATGCTCCAATTGCCACGGCGCTCATAAAGCGTCGTCTAAAGATTGCCCACGAGTGAGAAATGAACGCGCGGTGTTGAAACGCATGGTGCGCGACAATTCAACGCACAGGGAAGCCACTGCTACTGTCAGGCGACGTCGGCGTCACCACAGAAGATCATCACGCAACGTGGCGTCTGCCGATAGAGACCCGTCGTTTCAAGCAAGAAGAACTGGCCCCCCATCGTCAAGCTCTGCGAAGACGGATACACCGAAAACAGAATCAGGGTCAAGACTCCCACATCGTGAAGAGTGGCCATCACTTCTACGAACACAGTCTGTTTCAGAGGTGCATCGATCCCCGCCAACCTCGATGCCATCACGAACCACTGATGAAAAGACAACTGAGGATCGCCAGGTCAACATGTTGCAGACCCTTATGAGCGCAATGCGCATGTTCCTAAGCAACATGAACACCCCATCAGCGCAGAGCGCACTCCAAGTGCTGGACACTTTGAGTCCGGTGCTTGCAGCTCTAAGGTAAAACGATGGCCCGCAACATGTTATCCTTTCGCGAGGAGGTCAAGAACGCATCTGTCCTTCAGTGGAATGCCAGAGGACTTAGGGCGCGTATGTCCGAGTTCCGGCAATATGTATTCACAAATCAGTTCTCCATAATTGTGATTTGTGAACCGAACCTGTCAGCCCAGATGAGACTGTCGGGATATGAGTGCTTCATGTCTTCTACCCATAGAGAACGCAGCAAGGTCGTTGTGTTCATACGGCGCGACTTAACTTGTGTTCATCACCCTGTACCCCCTGACGAAGAAAACCAGTACATTTGCCTAACAGTAAAAAACAAGAAGACCACATTCACCATCATCGGAGCCTACTTACATCCATCAAGTCGTCTAGACCGTGAGCGCTTGCACGGAATTTTGAATTCAACTCTCCAGCCATGGGTGATAACTGGTGACTTCAATGCCCACCACTACTGATGGGGAAGCTCCAGGGTCAACACTAGAGGTAGACAGTTAGTGTCTTTCGCTTCTGAATGTGAACTTATCCTTGTGAATGATGGCAGCCCTACTTATCTGCGCGGATCGACCTATAGCAGTTGCCTGGACCTCACTTTCGTCTCACGCTCGTTCACACGCAGAGTGCACTGGTTTTCGGATTTGGAAACAAGGGGTAGTGACCACATCCCAACATACCTGAAGATTGACGGCTTTCCAAGTCTCAAGTCCTCCAGAGCCGTCCAGTGCACCGATTGGCAAAAATACAAGTTAATCATGGAGGACTATGTTGGCGCCTCACCTTTCAACCTAGAGGACGCAATAAAGAGTGCCCTACAGTCAACGACGCGTTCGCTTCCGGTGAGCTCATCTCGCACTGATATGGACATTGATCTCGAGAAACTCCGAGCGATTCGTCGTCGTGCAGAACGACGTTATAGACGCACGAGGTCACTTGATGATCTGAGAGTGGCCAGACGCACACAAAAGAAAATACAGCGTCACATGGACAAGTTGGCCAAGCAACGATGGGTATCTTTTTGCGAGTCTTTGGATCCGAGAAAGCCTCTGTCACTAATCTGGAGAACTGTCCGGGGTCTTCGTACAACCATTACTCAGCGCTACCCATTAAAATCTCTGGCACTTCACTTACGCTGCTAAGAGATTGATGTCGCAGATTTCTTCTGTCGAAGGATTGCCTGCGGCTCAAATTCAACTGGGACAAAGACGCCCGACTTTTCTGTATCCTCACGTGATCCCCGAATGGAGATTTTGTTTTCAATGGACGAACTAAAGGCTGCGCTTGCTTTGTGTAGACGTTCTTCAGCGCCAGGACCTGACGGCATTACTTACCACGCTCTGTGTCACCTAGGAGATCAAGCTCGGCAGGCACTCTTGCAGCTGTACAACGCCTCCTGGCAAACTGGCATGGTTCCACAGGAATGGAAGTCAGGTCGCCTGATTCCACTTCTCAAAGCCGGCAAGTCACCCTTGGACATTTCCTCTTACCGCCCGATTGCCCTCGCGAGCTGTGTGGGAAAAGTTATGGAAAGGATGATTTTAACGCGTCTGGAATGGTACTTAGAATTCTACGAAATATATTCAGATGCCATGTCCGGGTTCAGACGAGGCCGCTCGTCAATTGACATTGTAGACGACTTGGTGACATATGTAGAACACCAGAAGGCCTGCAAGCGGTTATCTGCTGCTCTATTTCTTGACGTTAAAGGGGCCTACGACAATGTCACCCACAAAGCCATTCTCAGCGCTCTAGAAGGAGTGGGACTCGGTGGCAGGATATATGCGTGGGTTCAGAGCTACCTACAAAGTAGATCATTTCACGTGCAGACAGAGAATGGCCCGACACCCGAGTATTACTGCAGCCGAGGAGTCCCGCAAGGCGAAGTGCTAAGCCCGACGGTGTTCAACCTAACACTCATTGAACTAGTTGGCAAGCAACCAAGCAGTGTACGACTTTCCATTTATGCTGATGACATCTGTGTGTGGACATCAGGTGTGA